TCGTTTATCAGGTTCCATACAAGGGATCGAAACTGTTCGACAGTCAAACGCACCTGAATTGATCGTTGTCGGTCAACTGAATCTAACTCTTTGTGTACAGCTGCACCTGTCTTGGTCAACCCGATTGATCTGGCTAATGATCGGTCAACGAAGAACAAGCGCCAACTGACTATTGTTCACTCTTTGATCTGTCTGGTTACCAATTTGTTTCTGTGTGTGAAAACCCCTTCAGATGAGCTGAAAGCATATTCTCGCTGAAATCCGTATTCTCAATCCTGAACCCTTACTGCCGCCAGATTCCTCAGATGTCACGTTGTCCAACACAATTACACCACATCACTACGAAATTTGAGTATAAGGGCGTTTGCGTACCGTTTATTGTTAATACTGTGTGCTGTTTATTCCTGGATGCTGGTGAGCCGCGTTTGATGTATAACGAAAGAAGAATACATATATATCATGCTTTCATTGGAAGGTCAAAGTTTATTGCCAAAGTGTGCTGCAGTCGGGCTGACAGCCAATATTGAAACTACGGTCGACAGGATCGTTGGATCCTCACTGCCTAAACAGATGTTTCCCCCTCCGGTTGGCTGCGTGCCGTCGAATCCTAGCTGCTCGTGCAGCTCACCGAAAGTTATCGATAGTTCAGCTGGCGAACGGGGATTGGCTTCGTCAAGTGTGGCTCCTTGTTAATTGAGCCTATTATCATTTATTTTTGAAGAGCATGGTCACAAACATAAAAAGTGAGTGCAAGCGATGAATGCGAAAGAGTAACAGGAGAATATGGGAGAAAAGAGAGAAACGTCTCATTCGAGATCATGCCAAGGGCAGTGCCAGTCTGATGAGATGAATCCCAAAGTATGTAAAGATTTTGGTATGGGAACACGCGTCTAAAGACCAACAACCAAAGAATGCTCTGCTCTTCAAGGCGCAGTGTGCGCTAGCACAGTCAAGACTCGCACATCAGGCACAAAGTGACCGTCATACTGGGTCTGGTGTGAGATTAAATGGCAAAAATTTACCTTCAACGCCATGTGCCACGCATAAAAGTGTCATAAGTACGCAGGGAGCCCACAATGGCAAGCAAACACAAGTCACTGACTGCGACCTTAGGAAGTCCCAGTCCAATAACAGCCTTAGCGGATTGAGGAAAGCAGATCCCTCGATAAGAGATGATCATCGGTTGGTGAACCAAAAAGTCGATATCACAACCGATGGTATGTAGGGCTGAGATTATGGCGAGGGAATGTTCATCAGCCCCATACTTCTGCTTCTTCTCATTCCACACTATCACTCCACGCTTATCCGAGACTATGCTGACGTCTATTACAGTTGCACGGCGATCTCGAACAGCGATTAGGTCAGGTTTGATGAACGACGTAGAAGTAGGGGCTCTCAACTCCTCGAAGACGGTGTACCCCAGTCGACGGAGACGTTTTGCAAGTTCCCTTCAGCTCAGCTGGTTCATCAGTATCACAGCCCTTGCACAAGCCGGTATGTAGTGCAGTTGTGATCATTTGACTCAATTCCATCGATGCTCTACCGGGCGACAGTAAACATTGAGTTCATGCTTGTCCTATCCATCCACGCGAGGACGCCGCAGAATCGATGGCTCCCTGTGCAATTGTGTGTGCATTACGCGGGTGCGTGTTCGTGCAAAACCATAAGGGAAT